AAAACAGTTACTAATGATATTGTTACAATACATCAACATTAAAATAAATAATCAATTGTTTAGAACTTGCAGAAAAAAATATCTTAAAAATTAATCTATATGCCACAGCATACTTAATGAATGGTATAAGTGTTTTAAAACAATATAGTCTGTGATTTTAACTTTAAAATTACAAGAATCAGAATTTTAAAACATCTAGTACGTATTAAAAAAACGAAATGGGCGTTAGTTTACTTTGTAAATCACTTTTTATGTAAAAAATACTAAATTCATCAAATTTATAATTTTTAGGTCTTAGAGAACTAAAATTATTAGAGCAAGATTATTTAATACCTGTAATCATTATTATTTTCTTGATATATTAAAAAAAAAATAACATAAATTATAGTCATAGTCAAATATTATTAATATTAAGATATTATGGCAAATTTTTTTTTATTTTAAAGCAATATCTCTTTAAGATTTACCTTTAAAATAAATTTAGTTAAAGCGAAGTAAGTTGATGTGATATTTTAATCAAAAAACAGCTACTCAGAACACTTTTATTATTAAAATATCATTTTTAATACATTTTTAAAAATTCGTTAAACCATTAAGTTAAAACATCTATATTTTAAATATAATAAAATATTAACTTAATACGTTTAATAAAATAACAATAACATACGATTCACACATTTTTCTAATCCAAACGGTTACTTATAATCTTTGACCATATAATTCTCATAGTTAAAACAAAAAATATATTTTGATGAATAATATTAATACCCTTACGATTTTCATTATACAGACGAAAAACAAAGCGTATGTGAATCAGTGGATTTTAGTTCTTTGGTTAAATTAAATCATTTATCATCTACTGCTATAATAATTATTTGTAGTCTGTAGGTCAGTAGGGCAGACGACGCGGTGTCTATAGTAGACATCGGTATAGACACTTCAGCGGCTCATTCGTTACGAAAAAAATCAACAGCTTAGCAGTTATTAGCACCAAAAAAAAAATATATATATATATATTTGTGTTTAAAACAACATATATTTTTTACGGCTGATAAAACAAAAATTACATTATATTTCATCAGCTATAAGTTTAATGAACTCAGTTTCAAAATATATTAAGGCGTATGTGATGTTACTATAGTACTTAAAATATTATTGTTTTAGCTATAAATTATAATTTATATATTGATGTATCATATTATTAGGCAATGTTAGTTTGAGATTGGTATTATTTTTTATATAATCGAGTGTAACAAATGCTTTTTGGGATAAATTGGTTTTCGGTTTGAAATATCTTATAAATAAACGTTTATCGCTTTGTCGATTATTGGTTCAATAAAAATAATAACCCTGAGTTATATTTAATAGATGTAGCAAAATTTATAAAGGAAATCAATTCTTGAAAATGTTTTTATCTTTTGATGTCGAATGTCTAATTTCGTGCAATCACTGTGTAACACAAAATGGGATACTGCAGTTTTCTATTTATTACAATATAAACCGATGCGTTGCATTGTTCAATAATTAAATAATTGAATACACGCGCTCCAAGTGACCTGCGGACCTCTAATACAGTCAGACAACAAATTTATGCTAATCTAAACAATTCTCAAATTGAACGTATTATAAATTATGTATAGATAAAAATAAAAGCAATTCAAATGCAAATCGAAAATAGCAAGTACCTATTTGTAAATTATTAAATTACTTAATCTGTTGATTAATTTTGATTAATCGTCCAAAAACTATTACAACCAATACGATTATTTTATGTATTTAAGAATTATAAATACATTTTTAATAAATCCAAGTATGACAATTTAAATTTTATTAGGTCATGAGCATAATAGTTTTTACTAGGAATACATTATACTTTATAGGTAAAGCGTGTTCGTGGTTTATCCTAAATTTCGAATTTTGATGGTAAAATGAATATTTTCGTGTTTGTAGATATGTAAACTAAGTGTGACTATTTATTTTTTTTACTTGTTAGTAAAATTAGTAAGAAAAATTTACGAAAATATTAAATAAAAACATTCAATGAAAAAAAAAAATAAAAAAATAAAATTATTAATAAATGTATAATCTGATCTGCATTGCCTAGACTGTAAAAATTTGAAGTTGTCCATGTTATAACTTATAACTTAAACATAATTTAATGGATTATGTATATTTGGTATAACATTTAAAATTAATAAAAATGGAATTTGAACTTAATAATAAGTTAAAAAGAATATTTTAACCTATTTGTGAAAGTATCGGCTTAATTTTAGCACTTTAATAATAAGAAGTATATTTTTTATATTTTTTACGAATCTTAAAACTGATTTAAAATATTATATAAAATAATTTTAGAATAATATATTTGTAATTATTTATTACGTAATTTTTTTTAATCGTGCTTTGAATTAATAATTTATCGTGATAAATATATAAATCATACAATAAGTAGATTATATAATGTTATTCAACGACAGACTCAACCCCATTTTTTTTCAATCTGATTATTAGAATTTTAAATTCTATTTAAAGACTATGCTTTAAAATCAATCAAATATTTGTATTATTTAAGGAATTATTGTAATGATTAGCTTTTGTTTTTAAAATTAGAATCTTTATTTTGTTTTGTAAATTATTTATCTGATAATTTCTCTGAATTAGATGTATTTAAAACAAAATTCGAACGATCAGTTTATAGTTATTGAGTTATTTAACTATGTTTAATATGAGTGCAATAAAGATAATAGGTTCATGCTAATGTGTTTAGAATATATGGGAATTTTAGTTGTTCGAAAATTTTGATAATTAATATTAATATTAACATTAACATTTGTGATCTGTAAAAATGGTCATTGGCCAAAGTGTAGTAAATACTATATAAAATAATATATGTAATTTAAATTTTTGTAAAACTTTTTTTAAGGATTATTATTTATTATCTTAATTATAAAAAAATAAACATTTTAATAACTGAGAAAATACTTGTTCATATTTTGAATTGAAATAACATCAATATGTTTCTTAGTTTATAAAATCAACAAATGTAATGTATACAAATATACAAATATTTTACGGTCAAGGATAAACAAATATTAATAGACGTTTATATTATAAATATTTAACGAATAACCTTTTCAAAAGATTTTATATTTCTAAGTTAATCTATCTACATTAAATAATAAACATTCCTATATAAATTGAAACATGATATTTTTATGTTATTTTGTTTTGTAAATTGTATATTATTTACTTGAAAATAAATGTAATATGAATGATTTATAATTTTAGATCCTGAGAGAAATGAAGAATGTATTTATTTTAAAATTCAGAGTGTTGAATTTTATTTCTATATACACAACTTATAATAGAAAAATTGTTTCAACCTTTAACTTCAATTGTGGTTTCTTGTAAAAAAATTAATCTAGTATATATATTTAAGAAATCAAAATGAAAATCCTCAATAATTTTCAAAATAATCAGCAGAAAAAAAAATATATATTTACATAAATACAAGGTTTTGACTTTGTTTTTTGTTTTATTTTAAAAAATTATAACAATAAAGAAATAATATTTTTACAACCGTATTCAATTTTTAATAAAATATATATCATTTTTAATAAGTACTTAGGTACTTTTTATGTTCTTTAAAGGTCTTAAAAATCTACATTGATTATTTATTTTTTTTCAATTGGAGTATGTAAAACGTTTAAAACCATTTGAAAAATTAACATAAAGTTATTTATACTTATTTTTATAGAAAATAAAACATATCAAAAATATATGGAAATAATATTTTTTAAGTATTTAAAAGTTAATATTTTAACGAAATTGCAGATATTTGCAAATTATTTTATAATATCAAATTCATAAACATTTTAATTATATCACCAACAATTCAAAAACTTGATACATGATTCCTTATAAATTTATTTACTGTATATTAAAGACGTTTAGTGTAGAGTTCAAAGTATTATATTATAACCTCAAATAGTTTTTTTTCAAAAACTATAGAAACTAGAATTAATTAAACTATAAGCTTAAAATATTTCAACATAACTTAAATTATCATTTTGTTATTTTCTATATTTAATGAAATCAATTAAAAAAATATTTACCTAAACTCTAAGTTGTTTTTAGGAATTTTAAATTTTAAATTTAATTTTTAAAATTGTTGTAATGTATGGGCTTAGTTAAAAAACTTGAAAATTAAAAAAAAAATTTTCATTGTTTTATAAAAATATTAAAAATATATTGGCAAAATTTTTATTTTTAAGTGTTTATTTTTATGGATAAAAATACATTGCATTTTTAATTTTAAAAACATTAAAACTTGATAATTTATTATATTTCTTATAAGTAGTTAATATTGAAAAAAAAACTCTAAAATAATCTATAAGTAAAATTCTTTTTTGTAGAAATCTCAATTTAAAATTTTAGGAAATCGGGTATTTATAAATAGATCATCTCTACTTGGAACTATTTTTTTTATACAATTATTTTATTTGACACATAAATAAATATGAATTTAACATATTAATTATTGTAATCTACTCGATTGTACTCACTTCTCCACTTTAATCATTTAATTAAAACTAATTTTAGTCTTGATGTATTTTTCCTAAATATTCCATAGCAAAGATTAAATCTAATATTAATTCAAAACTTATATGTATAACGCATAGGTGTTTATAAAGCAAGTTATGTAAATCTTACAACATATTCAAACTTATACGTATAATTAACTTTATTTCTAAACGTATGTTTTTTTTCACAATTTAAAACTGCCAATCAGCTATAACTGTAGATGGAAATAATATTATAATCGTTATTTTGTGAACTGTGCATTTTTTTTTCTATCGATAATATGCATAAATGTATAAACACCCACCTAAAATTGTATCAAATCAAATACTATTGATCATTTATCATCACATTTGAAAAAAAAAATAGTATATAACGGGGCTGCACTATTCAAAGATTATCATTCATCAGTTGTTCGATGTAAATTGAATAGTTGTTAAATAATTCTCTTACCATGAAGTTGTTAGCTGTTGTCGTGATTGGATTTGTAGCCTTAGCAGGCTCAGAAGCCGGTAAGTGTTGGCATGCATTTTATCAATTAATTTAATTTAACTTATATTTTTTTGTAATACATAATTCCATTATATTTTGAAAATTGAATACGTTTTTATAATACAAATATAATTTTTTTGATAAATATTAATAATATAATATAGAAAGTTGATAAAGATAATAACAGTTTACACAATTTATTTATTTTTTTTGACTCTGTTAACATTTATAATTTAATATAAACTTACAATTTATCGAAGTAAATTATTTTTAATATTTTAATATATAAATAACCAGTAAATAGTTCAAAATGTACTCTCATATGATACTAGATAAAATAATAAAACAATTTTATCATATTAAAACATTCATATCTATTTATAAATATGCGAAAATGGAAATTCTTTTAACGCATGTTTTCTAAAACTACCCATCCAATTATCTTGTTATTATTTTTTTTTTTTAATGAAAGAGTACATTGGCATAGCAAATTTTAAGCCTATTTCTAATTTTATAAGTTAATGAAAAATAAACGTATATAAAGATATTTTTTTTCATTCGTGTTATTAGTTATAAGTTATAAGTAGAGTGTGGATTGCTATGCAATCGCATATTTTTTTCCCTTTTACTTTTTTGGATTTTTGTCAGTTATCTTCACGAATCATAACAATTTGAATTTAATGGTGAATTTTTTTTTTGCATATTTCTGCATATTTAATGGTTATTGCATATTTTTGCATATTTCTACAAAATTCGAAATATATTGCATATTAAAATGAACATTTTTTATATACTTAGTTTATTTAAGTAATTAGTTATTGTAAGTTGTTTAATTTGTAAATTATATATATATAAAAAAAAATTTCCTTGCATATTTAGTACAAACATTTTTCGTTGTTTTTGGTTTACATTATTGAAAGTTCACGAGTTGGTTTTTTTTTTTTTTTGTCCTGAATTAAAAATAAATTAAATTTGGGTAGTTTAATGAATAATAATAATAATTATTTTAAAAAATGCATAGCAATATTAGACAGGATAGTTTTATAATATTAATATGTTGGAAATATTCTCTATACATCAGTTTAGGAAACCAAAAATATTATTTATTTATCTATATGTGTGAAGCTAAATTTTAGCACTAAGTCACCAAATTTAACACGGATGCATTTTTTACTGGTAACAAAGTGCATAGAGATAGCTAATTAAATATAATTACAAAATATTTTTATTTTTTTTTAATTGTGTCGATTATTGTTCTAGTTTCTACTCATCAACATCGCGATACACAAACAGACGTTGAACGTAATATTCAAGGATATTCAAATGACCGTTATGATCAGTACAATAACAACTATGGCGCAGATCAATATCAACGACGCAATGAAGAATCGAACCATCATCGCAGTAACAATCAGGAAAGCTCTAACGAGAGGTTCATGGACAACCAGAACCAACAAAATAACCAAGGCTTGAATGAGTTTAGCGAATCTAACTGGAATACTCCTCGTCGTTCAATGAACATGTACAATCAACACCAATTGATTAGACAAGATAACCAAGACAAAGACGAAAACCAGTGGAGTAGATCACAAGTTTCTAGAAACTTCAACCAACAAAGCCAAGAAGAACTTAACCAACAGATAACAAACAACAAAAACCACGCAAGTCAAAATAACGGATTTTCAATTTCTTCAGAAGAAAATTCCCAAGAAGATTATATCAAGGACCACCACAATAATGATATTTCGAACGAAATTGGACTTCAGGTTGCACAGAAAATGGTTAGATTCTTTACCATCTTTGATAAATATGCTGCTCGTAACGGAAGTATTCAAACTAACCAAGCTCAAGAATCACTCACTTTAAGACAACACGCTTTGCCAATGAATCATGAAAAATATCTTAACATCGACGAGAGCAATGTCTATGGTCTTAACTACGGCGTCATCAAATCCATTTATTTGAACACAGAAAGAAATTGTGTAAGTAAAAGCTTGAATTTGAATTGTACTTAATTTTAATATATTAATAATAATATTTCATGCATTTGGTTTAGGTCGAATTGGAACACTTCTTTCAAAGATTGTTAGTGAAGGCTAAGTTCAACGCCAACAATGGACTTAAAAAATCATTCGATTTGAACATGTTCAACACTGATGTGAATGTATCTACCGAATTAGAAAACCGCAACCGCAACTACGCTCATTCCCGCAACGACAATGCCCAACTCGAATGCAACAACTGCGAAGATTCTAATGATAGCCAATCTATCAAGGAAACAATTGAAAACAAATACGTTCAATTGTTAAACACAGAAATCGAAAGTGAAATGATCGACAACTCTTACGACGGTTTGGTCGGATGTTTGAGATCCGAAATCGAATCTACCTTCGACATGCCATCAAACAACAAACTCGACTTAGTGATCGAAAACAAAAAAACTCAACTCACTGTTTCCTTGACTAAATCCCATTCGTGGAAAGACGACCAGTCTAGGAATCAATACAACAACAAGAGGACTGTCCAGTACGTCGCTTTCCGTCACGTATCTGGAAACGGTTACAAATTGAAAGTTAAGATTGTGTTGGCTAAACAGCCCACTTGGGAATCCGATATTGTTGTCCAAAAATCGAACCAACAGATCAACATAAATAACGTAAAATTCAACGCTCAAAACATTGTTGCTAGTGCCGTCATGAAACGCGAACAACAGGAAAACGGTGCTTACAGATTCGTCGTCGAGGAATCCAACATTAAATTAGAAGGCCTCAGATACGACATTGGAAAATTCAATTTACCAAACAACACTAACGAAAAATTGGCAAGGGAAATTGGACAAAATCTTCAGAAGATCATGGAGAACGGCATGAGCGCTGCTTTGCGACAACAGTTGTACAAACAACAACAAATCTGTAAACAACGCCCAATGGACTGCAACAGTTGCAGCCGATCCCAATTATTCAACCAACAGTAAACAAACAAACCAATCGATTCACGTAATAAAAATGATGTGATTTCATGTTTTGTCTATTCAATAGAAAATATTATAATATAATTGTAATAAATAGAAACCTTCTTCAGTTATAAAACAATATTGTTTTATATTATTCTTAAAATTTAAGTTAATTTATACTTCCGGTGACCGGTACCTACCTATAAACTGAATTTCATAAGTTGTATTTTATGAAATCGACTATCATATTTTATCCCTGATAAAATATTGTTAGGCTAGAAACATACACGGACTTCAGTATGATAATGTACATTCATCACTGGTAAAATATTTAAGTATAATATATGACGTGTTCATATCCCATTAATTTGATTCATTAATATTGTATGCATGTTTTATATTGTAGTAAAAATATTATTTACACAAATAACTATGCAAAGTGTATGGAAAGTGTCTATTAAAAATGTATATTTATTCAATGAAAAAAAAAAAAAAATAATAAATATAAAATTTGACGTTTGATAATAGTAGGTATATATAATAAATAATAATATTATGTATAGATATTAAAATATTCTATTTAAACACACACACACACACACATATATATATATATTTAAATTATGCAATCAACATTTTTATATATAAGCATATGAGATAATTTTTCAAGGAAATTATTTCATGTTTTATGTTTTAAAATTTGAACTTAAATGCTTTTATATTGATTGCTTCTTCTTTTTTTAAACGAAAAAATAACAATAAAAATAATTCAAATTTATTAAAAAAAAAATAGTTAATTTTCAATTTTCAGTAGTTCAAATAAAACAGTTGTCTCGTGCGTTAAAAAATAACACACACACAAAAAAGTATAAATAAATAACAACTAGGTAATTACTTTTACTTATATGTTTTAAATAAATCTTTTTAAACTTACCTTAAAATCTTTAATACATCGGTGATATAGGTAGCTAAATATAATAATATTACGATACGTAAGAGTTTATACCACAAAACATTATAGGTATTATTATTATTTTACATTTGTGTTTCCCTGTAAGGTGTATTACATTCAATTTATATTTATATGGTGTTATAATACATTACCGTAGTCGTAGTGTCGTAGTATCAACGATCATATTATTATGTTTGGTTCACATTTATTTTAGTTTGTAGTTGATCACGTTTATGTTTTCCACAAATCATTACTTTATAGTTTTAATGTTTTTATTATTATCATATTTTTTTTTTCAAAACCTTATTTTGACGCAGTTTGCATCACTTTATTTTAGTTTTCTTACTTTTCGACTGAATTTTTATCGCTAATAAATGGATGAAGTTTTATCATAATTTATGTAAGTATAAACTCGTACCTCTAGAAACCTCGTAATACCTGTCAATGTCGACTACGTATTCTGTCATGTAATATTTTTTAAAGTGTATAACATGAATACATCACATAACCGTTCGAACGATATAACAATACATATTAAATTATTATAATATCGATATAAAATGTGCACACAGAAATATTTATAGCGCATAATAATATTTGTAATATCATTACGCTATAGAATAGCCACATTGATAATAATAATATTATACATTACATGGTACGTAAGTACCGATCGTACGTACATATGCCAACGCGTTATTTCAGGTAATAACGAACAAACAGCGAACGTATTATCAATGTAATAATTATTTAAAGACATATGCAACAATTAAAATTACAAATATGTATAGTTATAAATTTCATTGTTATATATTGTTACTTATCACAATCCATCTTTATATTATACAGAACGGTATATAAAATCCACGGCGTGTACAATATATCTGATTAAATAACAGCAACACTTAACAAACTATTAACATCAATAATCAACAACGTAAAATATATATAAATAAAAAAAAGAACAATAAAAAAGCGCAGGTGTTTGTGCAGTCTATTAAAAACTAACTCGTTTATCTCGTCGTTTTTATTATTCTTTAACGATTATATCATATAATAATAATAATAATAATAATAACAATAATAATAATAATAATAATAATATATTAATTTAATTTAATTTTTAGGCGTACCTATACATAACAATATTTACGGAGTTTTTTCCTCCGTTTAGCAAAAACTACGTCTGAAGCTTTTTTTGATGATATGAGTCTCAATATCCCTAACGTCATTACATAATTTAACTGTTTATTATCGTAATACATATAGGTCTACGTACATATATACTATATATATACATACATATTATTATACATAATATATGTATAAAATTGTCTACAAAAAATAAACTAGCCAGACCGTTCGTATACATATGTATATATTATAAATTAATATTATATTAATATATAATATATTATTTGTCCCTTTTCGACTAATCGGTTCGGTTCGGGTTTTTTTTTTTTTTTTTATAAACTTTTTCCACGACTCATCGCGTTTCAGACCATCACCGAAAACTACACGAGTGTATTTATATATATATATATATATATATATATATATGCGTATACCTATAATTATCATTGTAAAACTGTTGCTATAGCACCAACCTCCCGCCTCGACGCCAAACGACCTGCGCACGCTAATAACATAATCGCATTACACGTATTATGCCATCATGCCGTCAGCGGGTTCTCGGTGATTCTGAACGGCCACGGCGAGCTGCGCACACTGTCTTTGGACACGGACTGTCTTATGGATTTTGATATCACTGCAAAAAAACACGCCACGACCGTCAGTAAAGACTACGCCACACGTCCCGGTCGGTCTGCGGGTTTCGGACCAGAACCGCGGTCCAACCGCCAAGCCCAAGCATCGCCCCCCCCCCCCCCCCCCCGGATGAAAACAGAAGCTATGACGAAACTATAAATTATAATATATTTGCATAAGCCACACGAAAATTACGCATACACCACTGTCGCGTACGCCGACGACGACAAAAACGACAATGACAACAGTAAAAAACAATTTCATTATTATTTAATTTTTTTCTATTGATGTCATCATCGTGTGTGATGCATGCGATTGTATAATATTGCACTGACGCGCAATGAATTATTGTCGGTGGCGTATTTGCGCGCGGATGGTTGATCGCCAGCACACCCTTGTCCGACCCCCCCCCACCCCAACCCGAATCGAGTGTGTGTTAGTCGTGTCTCGTATATGACTTGGAGCAGAAGTAATCTGGACTTATACACCTCGCGACCACCCCGCCATGTCGCCCCTTCGGAAACCTCGCATATACACCACCGACACAGCACGCGTATTAAGTATGATCAAAACTATAAGCTATATACGACGACACAAAAACTACGTGTTCGAACGAAAGAAAATATAGAGGCCAGTGAAATAAATCTCCCTTGACCTACATGCACAACACGGTGTATAATATTATATGATATTACATGAAGAATTGCTAATATTACGTCTACACAAACTAAATAAACTAAAATCATACTAATAAGCACACTTCTACCTACTATCGGTACCTCTAATCAGAAACATGTTATTCAACGAACATATTATTGCGATGGTGGGTAATGGTCAATGGAGGGTAGTGTAGCGGGGAGTGTTTATACTTTGTCGACAAGTATAATATTTATTGGTAGGAATAAAATATCATGTTGTACTACCCCTGGTCGGTTTGGTGCGGAGTTTTTTTTTCGGTCTAAATTAGGCGACATTCAGTTCGGTCATTTTACAAGCCGTCCTTTTTATTCTGGTAAAAATAATTTCGGTTCAAAAATGTCGAGTAAACTTTGTTGAATTAGTTCACGGGTATACTTTAAATACCTACATTAATTAATATTTGTCACATTTTACTATGACTATTATTCGATTTTTAGTGAGTAAATTATTTACAAAATTATGTATTTTTGAAGATCTAGATCTAGATATTATTTCAACAAGTTTTATTTGATTGCTTTGAAATATAAATTATATTTTATTCAAACGCAATAGCTGAACTTAGTAAATTATGAGAAATATTTAATCTACATTTATAAAATAACTAAATTTAGCATTGCTATAGATAAAAAAAAATTAGTATGCACCTACACTATTATAAATTATATACACATAATTAAATTATTAAAAAAATTTATTTATTTTAAATAGTAAAAATATTTATCTTCTAAAAGTTGCTATATCATTATATTTAATAAAATAAAAAAAAAAAAAATACTGATGCTAAATTTTAAATTTTAATTTTAACTTTCGAAATTTAAATTAAAAAATATTCTACCTATGTCATATGTACGTTTGTATATAATATACTAATATACATAAGAAATATAAGCACATTTAAAATTATCAAAGTATATTCATGCAAAATATCATACCCAAACTATTATGGTAAATAGTTATTAACCGGGATGCAAATTTACGTTAAGTACTTAATTTTTTATAAAAAAATTTACCCATGATTTCGTAGTATGTGCTTGAATAAATTTGTTTTCGTAAATTTTGAAATATCTTCGGAAAATTTTTTATCAAATTCATTGTTTATAACAAACTTGTATCATTTTAGATGAACCTATACGGTTATACTGAATGTTTTGTCGGGATCATTATTTCTTATCCAAATTACCATTAACACCTAAGTTTATAATAAAATTCTATAAATTTTTTAAATACAATTGGCTTTTAAAAAAAAAAATTAATGCTATACAGTATATATTTTTATGAATATAATACAATTATCAAAATAAAGTGAATGAATAAAAAAATGTTTATTTATTTTTCGTTTGATAATCGGTTCAAAATAAAAGAAACATTTGTTGTATTGATAACAAATTATTGAATAATAATTAATTATCATGTTTGAAAAATAACAAGTCAATAGGTTCTAATAAGTTAAACTAAGCTATTCAAGCAATTTTTTTTAAATTTCATTTTAGTACAGTATGCACCAACGTGCAATGAATAGTTTAATAATTGTCTACATATTATATAATAGTTAAGTTTTCAAATGAAAACTATGAATCGTATTTAAAATTTAGATTATTAATTTATTTAATTATAGACATGATTATATTAGTACGTATTTTGATATAATTATTATATTTGTATTAGTTACAGCTTGTTATACAGGATTAATAATTAATAATAATATTTCTAAGATGGGAAATTATTGTAATCGAAGCAGTTTCCATTAAGTAATCTACAGCAAAATGAATCATAGTTAAAATATGTGTTATGTATCTATTGTATAATATACGTTTTATAAATGAGAAGATATTTTTAAGACACATTATTTAAATTAAAAGTATGTTTGATATTATATCAAAGTATTTATAAAATTCCTACATATGCACGTTTACAAATAATGTCGAATTTTGAAAAAAATTAATATACACAATTATACGACTAGAAAATATGTATTAAACAATAATAAATATATAAAGGCATAGATTTTGTTGTCATTGAAATAAAACATATAATTTTATGAGATATATTTCTGTGAATTTATTTGTCTTTCAAATTTATTATTATTCAACGGCTTGTTTAAAACCGAAAACAGTAGACACATTAATATTTGTCTTTTGGTTTCATAACAGAAGCAATATTTTATATTCTAAAACGTAATTTTAGATACTATAATATTTGATTTTTTTTTTTTAGATGATCAAGTATTACTTATTAGATACGCTCAATTATCAAAAGCCTGAATGTCTTCAACAATAGGTTAGGAGTTAGGACCAATAATATCTAATTTCTGTAGTTTGTAGTACTGATTTAAACGAAATTATAATATTGCTATATAAGATGATTTTAAATTTGATTAGACCGTTTGTACAACTAAGAATATAAAATGGTTAATTTCAATTTTGATTTCTCTTGTGTATTAGTAACGTGTGCGCTTGAATGATTTTAGATTCCGAGCAAATGATAACTTTAGACATATTATATATAACAGCACTTGAGGGAAAATTGCTTTAATATAAATATATATATATATATATGAATTAATATTGTGAACAAGTTTCCGTAGTTTAATTTAAATTGGTTATCATAAATAATTGTAATTTATCGAGGCACTGCGCAACGGGCGTAATGGTAGTGGATTCTGAGCAATCGATTTGAACAAAACCCCTTAAAAAAATTGTTTGTACATTGTAGAACCTAATGCCACATTCCTTCTTAAAAAGGAAACAACTGTTTATTTAGTTGCGTTATTGTAAATAAAAATTATTTCAAGTTATTAATGATTTTTAAATTATACGCGCATACATAAATTAAATCTACATAAGCGTGTGTGATATTGTATATTTATAAAAATAACAGTATTGGTTATTATATAATTTTATAATTACACGTGTTTGAAAACAAATAATTTTGCACTTATAGTAGTGTGAATAGTGTGAATAGCATAATATAGAATATAATATGTGTAAGGCTGGACGTTATTATTATTGTTTATTTTATAAACTTTATTTTTTTTATAAAAATAATTATACTTCGTGATAGTATAATTTAATTGGGAAGAAATAAAATATGTTGGTCAAGTAACTATTTAGAAGAAAAAATATTTAATTGACTGTGTCAACAATAATATTTTTGAATGTTCGATTAATTTCTTAATACCTGTTATTATAAATAAAACTTTTTTTTCTTTTAAGACGGGTGGTATAGGTAAAAAGTTTATACTTGAATAATTTATTTTTCGTGGTAAAAATATTGCATTTGAACTCCGTCGAACAAAAAATATCAAAATATATGTTCTATAAAACATTAGGTATATTAGAAAACAATACATTTTTGAAAATATAATACATATGTTTTGTACTCAAAAGTTTATTCACGAGTTTACAACGATGACAAAGCAGTCATGACAATTTAATACATGTATAGCAATGGCCGTAAATATTATTTTTATTTTTATTTTGAATGCAAAACAATAATGACATTCTCGAGTGAAAAATTTTAACGCGTCGAAAAAAAACTTCTGTCTCGTCTTAAACTCCTTAATGCCCAGCCTCACGATTATAATTCCGATACAACTATAGAAGTTTTAAAAAAATAAAATGAGAATGTGAGTGAGATTTAAAAAAAAATAAAAAATCGTGAGAGAAAGAGATACACAGAGAGAGAGAGAGAGAGAGAGAGAGAGAGAGAAGATTAGAGAGTACATGTTTATATCATAAGACAGTGTTTAAGGCGAAGGTAAAAGCATAAGACATCGTTATAAAATATATAATAATATAACAATAAATCATGGAAACGTTGAAAAACCGTTTTCTTCCGACAAGCATTTTATATCATGACACTTACGTGTTGCAAATTTCATTTTTTCGAAGCTGATATACTTTTAGTCGATCAATTTGTTCAATAGGTAGGAGGGTGTATTCGATGTGTATGTACGTGTGTGTCTGTATACATGTATGTGTGTGTTCGTGTGGGTGTGTGTGCGTGCGCTAACTATTCGTGCATCCGTGCGCTAAATGCATTAGCTAGTACATTTTTACCTTCAGCCGATCTGGATACGGTCAACGGTGGCCGGCCGAGTCTCACAGCTGTGGCGACCATCCGTTGACGTCACCACCCACCGCACACAACATGTACGGGAAAAAAAAAAAAAAAAAAAACATAAAAATAAATATGTATAGATTACGTTCAATAATAATATAAATTATCGTTTAATAATATTATAATGCTGTGTAAACAATATTATATATATATATATACTCATATACACTGATAAATATATAGGTATATATATATATATATATACACACAGCACTCCATACGGCGATCCTTTTAACGGAAGATTTAATATTAATCTGTTTAAAAACTGTTAAGTATTTTGACATTTTTTTTTGTTTTCGTAAAATATAAAACCGTTTGCGGTTTGGACGTCTCACATAAAATGTCACCCTCGAACGTGTCGGTGAAACCACTGGTGTCGACTCAAATATATATAACGTATAAAAGTACGAATTCACATTACATATCTTATTATAAATTATGTATGGTGTAATTGGTGTATAATCGAAATACGTTAGGGTCAATATGAAATCGATAATGTTTTTTTTTTTTTTTTTAGAAATATGAAAATCGCGGTGTATAGATAAAAATGTAATATATATATATATATTAACATGGAAGCAATATCAGAAGATTGAACCGACAGTTTTTTTCTTATTATCTACCCGATATAAAGGGCTTCATTTTAGAAAATTATTCTGATTTCGATTATAAAATCGAAAATATAGGTCACCGTTTAAAAATCAAAATCAATCGATATTATATCGTTGTAGTTCCACCGGCAAACACGAGGGTAGATATATATTATTATGTCAGAGTTGCATTATATTATGTCTTAAACATTTCAAAAAAACAGTTAAAAGGAGCACCACATACGACATACCTAAATATGTATAACTATGTTATGATATTAGTATATACTTAATATTTATAATGTATAATTTATTGTCACAATAACACGTACAAAAAAAAAAAAAAAACATAGATTCACAAGCATATTTAAAAACGTATAATTATATCGTATATCATGTAAAATGAAAAAAAAAAAAAAACATTATTATTAATACAATATTATAAAATCGTGCAATAAATGATGGCTCTGTACAAGTCATACACACACACACACACACACACAGCATGTAAATTCATCATGGCATATATAGGTCAAATCGAACGTAGTAGCGTTTATAATAACAATTACAACAACAATCATCCAGCCATAATATGACGCTTGTGCGTTAGACTGAATGGCGAATTCGACTGTACGTATACCTATATAGGTACCTAACAATGTGAGGTAGCCGTCGTTCGACGGACAAACTGCGGTAGAGTAAACATGGTTTCGCGGTAACGATTAATTATATACGTCTCGACACAACATTATACTATTATTAAAGTATAATAATATATAATATCGTGTAAGTGCGAGCACGCACGCGTGAGACGTGAGCATTATAATATAATATGTATGTACAACGAACGTAGGTAAATATTATTTACAATCACACTCTTCCGAGATTTTCGCTCCAGAAAAAAAAAGCTATATATTTTTTTATTTTTTTTTTTTTTTTTATATTTTACTTATGACAATATAACACACGATTGTATTATTCACAGTGCGTTCAAACGATTTTTCTTGTTCACGCGCGCATACAATAATTATTATAATAGTTAGGTAGGTAGGTGGATATAATATATGGCATAGTGTACAATAAATCATTATACAATACGGTGTACGAGCATGATACACGTGCTGAAGTGTCGCGTAGGTTAGGTTAGGTTATTAATGTGTAGGTAAATTTCAAATGTACGTACAGTACGAGAAATTTTCGTGGTAAAATGTCCCGTGCAAAACGTACAGGCACATTACAATATAGACGTCGACCCGGTGCAACGGCAAACGATCTGTTATAACTTATAATTATTGTTCGTCATATTATAATGCGAGTGTGCAGCAAGCTGCACTCTAGACCTGCACCGGGCGGGCATCGGTTTAAGTACGATCCTATGCGATTTCGTCCGGAGGGCCTCAAACGGGTAATGACGGAGTGAAAAGAAGGGGTCGTGTTATTATCGACGAGATGTCGATCGTTGAGATCGGAAACACAAATCAACGTTAAAAAACTATCGTGAAAATAATATATGTTATCAGTGCACGAGCAATATTATCGAAGTGATTTCTGTGAAGAAAAACACGCGTTTCTAGAGCAGAGTATAATATAGGCATATTATTACGCCGCGATGTATTATTCTGAGAATTTATTATTACCTATATAATATAATAATATTATATACGCATGTTGGAGGTATTGCGTTGTTTGTCGGCCAATAGTTTTAAAAACTGATAATATTACTACCGTTTTGTGGAATCAGCTTATAAGAAGAATAAAAATAAATATGCTGCGTGTGAGAGTAAATCTATGTATTAAATTGATTATGACGAAAACGTTTTCTCAGTCCTCCTGTATCAGAAACGTGTAGCTACATAATATTTATTTGTGTGGGCTAAATACAGTTGTTGTGTAAAAAAAAAAAAAAAAATGTTAGTGAAGTATTTCCTCCCTATGTTTACGGGATAAATTTGAATTTAGACGTGACATATTACAGACGCGCCGCTGAATTTTATAGAGCCACAATAATACGACTTCGCGTCTCGTAGACGGATGAACCTACCAGCAAATTTATTACGAGTGTGTACCTACGTACTTGAAATGTAGAATCCAATTTCAATATCGACGCGGTTTTCATACTACAGTATTAACAAAGGTTCAAAGTCTTCGCGTTTAACATGTATTCATACTCGTGACACCGTCAGACACACTAATAGGTGTAATGCGTTATCCGTCTCTGACGAACAACATTCTAAAATTAGCCGTTCGTGTTGGAAGCTGATCAATTATTATCTATCTATTGACGTTAATGCAAAGAATAAATATTACGTATACATTACAAAAAATATTAAAAAGCGTATTGTCTATTTATAAAAATTACATATAAACAATTTGATTTAAAACTATGTATTTATATATATTACTTATATATATATATATATATTGATTTCAGGTTGTAGACTATGGTCACTTTCTTCCGGACAGCTCAGCGACGGCACACGAATGAGATGTATTTGACATAATATTTAAATGTTACCGTTTTGTTTTAGTGTACCTACCTATTATGTATCAATACAGTTACGTTAACGGATTTCCAGTTATGCCCTTGGTTTTGTTTTAACTTGATATGTAAGTCGATTCCTACTATTGACTTAAGTATATCGGTTAATATTTAATTACATATCATAAAAAATCACATAAATCGAGCAATGCAATGTAATAATAATAACACATTACGTTATGATATTAGTTCAATCTAAAATCGTCGTACTCTTTTTATTGTAATCATGTATGTCAAAATCATAACATTTGAATAGCCAGTTGATGTTTTATCAAAGACAAGTCACACAACAATATTAACACAATCAAGTTAAATAATTTCACTGTATTTCGATTTATTCACTTAACGCACATGTATATGCATATATATTCATTTTTATTTTTTAAAAATATCATTACTTAATCAACTGTACATATAATATGTCATCATTGGGACATATTATAATGTTCATTGTTTTATTACAATTTAAAATACAAATATTTCATTACAATATCATGGGATTATCCCTTATTTTAGATCAAGATGCATGTTATGTAATATTTGGCCTTTGATTGTAACAAAGATTATTCGAATTTATCATTTATAAATCATAAATAGTTTTGTTTTTTTTTTTTTTTTTATGCAATCTTATCAAATAATAGAAGGAATAATTTTTTTTTTTTTTGATTTGTTTGTAATAAAATCGTTTGTAAAATAATATTTTTAAAATACAAAAACAAACATATAATATAACACACTTATTCGTCATACAAATATTCCTACAAATACATGATAACATAATATAATAAATGTATAAAATTTAAAGTGAAATACCGTAGCAAATGATCACTACTTGCGTATCATATATTATGTTTAATATAAAATGAACAGTAAATATATATAGATATATATTAGTACTTATAAGCAGCACGTAAAGGTGACAAATCACGAGCGATTCAGGTCAAATCGGATTTATATTAGAATTGTTTAGTAACGTTGACTGCACACCGTATCTGTCTCAACGTAATAGGTGTACACCCGCCGTGTATGTAAAATATATTTACGTATTTTGATAACGACTAAATATTTTTCATTTTTTTTTTTTCTCGATCGTCTAAATGTTTTGTGTTTTGCGATTATTGCGACTTACAACTCTGAACCGCTCGTAATTTAATTTACACAATATGTATGTATATAGTGCACAGTATAATAATTAAACGCAACAAATATGATATATAATATATTGATATAACATTATGCGTGTCGTATAAATATTTGCAATGTTCCAATGTTACGTGACGATGATATTATATCATTTACTTCGTTGGAGCCTACTACGTATGTGATGGACATAATATTATATTATACGGCGGCGGCGTACACGCGGAAGGACTTATTTCGACATTATGTATAGTGGATTTAATTTGAATGTGTTTTTAGTTATACGGACGCATAGAATTTTCTTTTTTCGACAGCGATCGTCAATTGTTTGTTTTCCGAGTTTTGATATTCGACATGCGAAGAAAATTAAAAAAAAAAAAAATTCGCGTACGCCGCCGTATTGCAAACTGCGCCACAGCAAACGTAGATTTAATATGGCTCGTCAATATTGTGTCGTGATTCGCATCGTACACGAGAACGAATGAAACTCTTACTCGATCACCTAGTTGATAAATATTGTAGTAGTAGAAGTAGCTGAACGGAAACTTAAAATATACGCACAGAGTGTACAATAACAAGAAAATCATCTAACAAAATTTTTATTAATTTCATTACAAATCCGCGAATGCACTAATTTTTTCGTTTGTTGACAAAATTGAATGGATAAGAGGCCCAAAAAAAACAAAAAAAAAAAACGTATTAACGCCTATATAGACACCATTTATAAATTGCCATCATCTATACATATATGTGTGTATATTGTTAATGTATGTATTAATAATGAAAAAAAAAAAAAAAACAGAAAAAAAAAAACAATAACGACACATTGTGACTAAATAATGATAATAATGATTAACGTACAAACGTGTGAATTTAATATATAATTATATGACTACAAATTTATTGCATAGGTAGTTTTCGGATATCATTATTATACGTAGGTGTACTGGATTTGTTATTATTAATTAAAAAAAAAAAAAATGCTTATTGTATTTTTCAATATAAACGTCGAAGCATTAGACAAATAGGAAAACTTCCGCTTATTTTACTGTGCACGAAGACTGGTTTGGCTTACCGTAACCGAGTCCTTGCAAGAAAAGCCGCAGCGCTTCACACATTTTTTGTGGTACCTCTTCCAGCACCATGCTACAGTCGGATATCTAAAACGAGAAAACAAACAACGATGGTATTAGTATATATATATATATTACAATGCGAATACCGTAAAAATATATCATAAATAACAGGGTCTTAGTCGTCGCCACGTCGAGGAGACGTGTAATATTTTCGAAATCGACCTGCGGCCGTTTTTTACTGTCGTTTTGACGAGAACGGATATCACTGATTTCGAGATCTACCTAACACCATTTTCCTACCGGCGTGTCCGGTGTATTAGTCCGCGATGACCGGCGGTCAGGTTAGGCCGTTCGCCATCGCGCGCGCGTCACAGCGAATACAACATTATTATTAATTGAAATCACTTTTCCAAACGGTGATCACAGGTCTTTGAACACAGAGGCGCTTGACGTTTTAACAAAAAATTACGAGACTATTCCGGTGAAAACGGTTTTTGTACGAATGTCACGGAAACGGCGTTTATAGGTATCACACGTACGATTCATTTTAATAACGATTTTCCACAAAATTAATTGACCGCGATAGTATTATTCTATAGTATGTGCAACAATTGCGCAGTCGAGCACGCATTGTTTCATATTCGATCATATTCGAAATTAAACGATGAAAAATGTTAGCTACTCGTAGATATTGCACGTATTAAAGATTGGACATTTACGCTGCAAGTACGCCTTAAAATCGCGTCACACACAAAATTATGCGTACGTATAGTTATACGAGTGTAATGAATTCTTTTTTCTGCCATGTATTTCTATGTAGTGTTAATTTCACATTTTTTATATCAGTACAATAACAATCATGTAGGTTAGTATTTTTTTTTTAATTTTTATTAATTCGATTTTATTTTAGTTTCATCAAATTTAATTATACATTTTTATTTTACCTTTTTAAATATGCACGTTGTGGTTTATTTACAAATATTCGCGCAAGTGTTAAACGTACTTGTCGTTTCAAAGCACATAAAAAATAAAGGTAAATTAATTTGAAGTTTTTTTAATCATTACAATCCGAGACGTAAAAAATATCATTTCAATAATAAATATTTATACCTATTACCTATTACCTATATAATATTATAATAACATAGCTTTCTAGACTTGTAAGGCTATAACATTTTAATAGTTTGGTTACAAAATTAGATTCAATACATAGTTATAATGATCTTTTAAATAAACTTAAATAGCTTTAAATATTTATACTAAATTGTTTAACTTATTGTTTTTTAAGACAAATTTTTGTCAATATACCAATAAGTTTCATATTAGGTTTATAAGCAGATAAAAATGGTGATAAAAATTAAACACTTTAAACTTTTTTTTTAAGAGGGTCTTTGTGTGTTAAGGTTATAAACGATTACCTTGACTCAATTATAATGCATTTGGAATAGGTACCTATTCAATATTTATCTATAGCAATAAATTTACAATAGTTTTTTGGCTATTATATTCAACTGATGTACTTATCTTATTTTATCCGGTCAAATTTCAATTTATTAGCTTGAGAATTATGTAATTTAAATTTTGATAGTGTATATATATATGTTTCTATTATATAAGCTATAGTTCCGTGTGTTTTTTGTTAAAATATCCTGTATTACGTTTGTATCACAGAAGTATAAATAAATTGACTTGATGTACCTAACTAATATTATAATTATAAATATGATTTTTTTGATTTTTATACACCTAAACATTTAGTAATCCACTATATGATGATTGAAATCAGTAAAAAATCGTGTTACTTATAATTAAAGACCGGATTTTTATGCAGTTTACACTTAAAAAACGTGCAAAATTGTGCAAAAACAAAATTTTTATTATAAGTACTTCAAATTTTTTTTTTAATAATATTATTATTTATTATTTGACATTAATTATTTAAGCATCTATTATATTAAAATATAAAATTCAAAAAAACATTTAATTTAATTTAAAATAAAATAATAATTAACTGACAATAGATATACGCATATAAGTGACTTTAAAATATTTAATTAAAATTTATATTCATTTACATTTTTTCCATAAAATTTTGTCCAATTTTTGGCATTTTAAATTAAATTATATAAAGTTATAAATATCCACTTGTGTTGTATAAAACACGAGTTGACTACGGCTGCTGCGGATATACGTAGATGATTTATTGACTATCGTAGTACCTATAGTAGTTTAGTCATTTGCTTAATTACGTCGTATTATATCAATATATACATATATAATTATACTTTTTGATATAAAAGTCCAATACTTCATATAACAATATAATATAGTAGTGATAAAGTAGATAGATGGTAATATACGTAATATAGATTAAATAGCAAAAATATTTGTACAAAAGTGCTATTTAGTACATTTTTATAAAAAAAATCCGAAACATGCAATTTTTTGCAACATATATAACTTTCTTTAAATTCATCTACATCACTTGATTTGAATTTGTAGCTGGTTCTTATAGGATTTAGGACACGCCATAAAAAGATGCAATTACACAGGAATTCTGTCTTTACTTACAAATTATAATCATTTCAATACAAACAAATTAACCGTTTTAATAACAATACTTAACTAATATTATTGTTAGGTATATGCGTTACGTGTAATATAGGTAATGCAATTTTTCGTTGTTTCGTATGTTACACAAACAATATTGTAATGAAGTACCATTGAATCGTAATACCACAGAAGTACATGATAAACTTTTAGGCCAAATAGTCATCCATTTGAATAAATACGTATAAATGCGTCGCTTAACGATTACGCGCCAAACATTATTACAGTAACCCCTTTATTGTTATCTTTTCGATTTGCATAAATTTAATTATGATAATAGGACATAGATGACTATACGACCACGTGTATATGAAATCCGTAATTTATATTAAAATACGTATTCGTCACACCTATGTGATTTCTTAAGAGTGATAAATGGTGGTTAATTAGCACAAATATAGATATAATGTTGAACGTAACGCGTATATGGATGTTAGGTCATTTTATTAGTTTTTAAACTTTCAAACTACGTATAAATCCTTGCATTCGCCATACACTATTATATTTTATGTTACATGTAAACGCTAGTACAGCCACATGAATTTTTTAAGAAAACTTTACCAAATCAGTGTTATTAATAATTTCTTTGCATTACATGTTTTATCGTAAAAATTAAAAAAAAAATTATGAAAGTGTATTTTTATTTTCATGTGCTGTGTCAAGTGGTAAACGTATTGGCATGCAAGAGCTCAAACAATATAGGTTGGGTATTATGTTATTATTACGTATTGCTGTTTACAATTTATACGAATACATTTTGATCGTACTTAATTATAATATATTTTAATCGTTAGGGCATTGTATACAAAACGCCGAATATACAGAGACGTCATATGTCAAGGAATTATGTAAGTCGAATCCCGATTTAGAAGACTTTATGAATGCCGCCGACATTTTGATAAGATCCGATTGTAGTTTGGTCGATTCGTGTAGAAGAGTTACCGATCACTCTCATGATGACGTCGACGAAGTAGACTTTATAGTGGTCGGCGGAGGAGCTTCAGGTAAGTAAATCTTGTTCGAAAATAACTTAATACAATATGTTCAAGCGAAACAATAGAAGCTTTAATTTGATAAATACCTGAACGATCGGATAGGTTTTTTTTTTTATTTACAGTGAATTTTAACCAAATGCTATTATATATTTTATAAAAATAAAAATTCGATCCTATTCTTCTATTCATTAAGACTTAAAAAAATATAATCTACTTAGGATTTTCAAAAATCAACTTTAAATTTTAATTAAATATTTTAACATTTTTCAAGTCAAGAACTTGACATCTAATGTATAATTAAATATAATTTTAATTTCAAGAGGAATTGAGATTTTAATATACATTTGAAGATTATCCTTTTGATTCAATCTTAACTTTAAATTATAATAAAATGATTAGATCACTAGTCTTACAGTATCAGATTATAATGATTATACACTTATATTGATATTAAAGGTTAATTTTTTAAAAGTTTATACAATTTTAATAAATAAAAAAAATGGCATAATACGAATAGAATAATCAACTATAAAAACCCAAAATAGTTTATTTGTTAAAGTAAAAACAAATTTTGCGCTCGAAACTGAAAAAAAAACCCTTAGGCTGTAACATTAAATACTTAATCAGTACATTACAAACTTTGCATATTAAAAATTATTAACATATTATTTACAACTATTTATTTATTTTTTAACGGGGACTTTCATTCTCTCAATGAATGTGTGTGGATTGCTGTTTTAAAGAATACCCTTTAGGACTAACACTTTACTATACACTACGCGTTAACCTTAAACTATTCAGAATAATGGTTTTAACACTATACGGGTTACCACCAAAAATCATAAAAAATAAAAATGATTACTAAGAAGTATAATGCATCGTGTATTTTCAGGTCCCGTAGTAGCTGGGAGACTGTCAGAAAATCCTAAGTGGACGGTGACCCTTTTTGAATCCGGCTCAGAGCAACCGGCAGCCACCGATATACCTGCTTTGCTGAGTTCGGCGATCGCCACGAAGTATGATTGGCAGTATTCTACGACGCCGCAAAAAAACGCTTGTTTGGCATACGGAGGAGTGTGCGGTTGGCCCCGTGGAAAAGTGTTGGGTGGAACGGTTGCACTGTCAGGTAAGAATACTTAACGAGTACACGATGACGACGATAATTATTTGGAAAACAAAACATGACACGGATCAAATGGTCGAGTGTGTTAATCTACTCGTTAGCAAAAACTTATATCATACAATGTTTGTTTAATTTCTGACTGTCGGACGTTTCCGAAAAAACTTTACGTTTTTCTAAAATGGGTACTTAAATAAACGTCAATACATTATATACACACTGACCGAACAGCAGTCTGTGTCGCTAGAATAAACTATTTTGCTGCAAATTTAAAACATTTTTATGCTTTTTGTACTGAAAACGTACACGTCTCTAATAGTTACGTACTTACTTAAATTATTATTAAATGATTCGCGTTTCTGAAATCAAACACCACCACAAGACCTACGGTTATCGGTACCCTTACGCCTCAAACGACCTGTAACGCACATTCGACGTATCGACACATCGCGGATTGTGACGATTAGTTTTAAAGTACCCTAAATCGCAGTTTTCCTTGGACTGTTTAAGGTTCGATGTACTCCAGAGGACACCGGGATATATACGACGATTGGCTGAAGGCCGGCAACGTCGGGTGGGGATACGAAGATGTGTTGCCGTTCTTCAAGATGTCGGAGAACAACAAGGACTACCACACGGAATACCACGGAACTCGAGGCCCGATCCCCGTGCAAAAGCCCACCGAAGTTTTGCCGATCACGCGGACGCTTATAGAGGCTGGCAAGGAGCTGGGGTACTCGGAGATCGACATGAGCGACCCGAAACCGTTGGGCTTCTCGATCGCGCAGCTCATGATCACCAGCGAAAAGACCCGGGTGACGATGCCCACGGCGTACCTGCGGCCGCACCTGTGGACCCGCTGTAACCTGCACGTCAGGATCAACAGCCACGTGACCCGGCTGCTGGTGACAGCGGACCGGCGGTCGGTGTACGGCGTCGAGTACGTGGACAGCGCCAACCGGACCAGGCGGCTGACGGCCCGGAAGGAGGTGATCCTGAGCGCGGGCGTCATCGGGTCCGCGCACCTGCTCATGCTGTCAGGCATCGGGCCGGCGGAAGACCTGCGGCCGCTGGGCGTGCCGGTGGTGCAGGACCTGCGTGTGGGCCACAACCTGCAGCACCACGTGGCCTCCAAGCTAAGCTTCCAGCTGAACGTGACCAACGACCGGCTGTTGACGTTCGACGCGATCAACCAGTACCTGAAGCAGAGGTCCGGCTCGCTGTCCACGACCGGCGGCCTGCAGACGTCCGCGTTCCTGCGCTCGGACCGGGCGGGTCCCGACGACCCGGCCGACGTGCAGCTGTTCTTCGACGGTTATTCGCCGAACTGCGTGTACGCCCAACCGGTGTACGGCAAGTGCTCGGCGTCCGCGGAACCGGTGATCATGAACGTGCGGCCGGTGAACATCCGGCCGCGGAGCCGGGGCGTCATCCGGTTGGCGAGCGCCGACCCGTTCGTCCGGCCGCGGATCAACCCCAACTACTTGTCCGTGGAAACGGACGTCGACGTGCTGGTATGGGGCCTGCGGCTTGCCAATGACCTGGCGCACACCCGGGCCCTGCAGCGGCTGGGCGCCATCGTCGACCGGAAGCCCGTCGAACAATGCAGCCAGCACGCGTTCGCCACGGACCCGTACTGGCGGTGCCTGATCCGGTATCACACCCGAGGCGAGAACCATCACGCGGGCACGTGCAAGATGGGTCCGGCCACCGACCCGACTGCCGTTGTCGACCCCGAGCTGCGCGTGCATCGCGTCCGCGGCTTGCGCGTGGCCGACGCGTCCGTGTTTCCGACGCAGCCCAACTGCAATCCCATCACGCCTGCCGTCATGGTCGCCGAGAAGGCCGCGCAATTCATCAAGAACACTTGGCGCTGACGCGATCGACCGCGGTACTGGTATACCGACAATACCACGTCGTATGTCTTTTGTGAATTCAAGAAAAATAATTTCAACTCGTTTTACAATCTCTCTCTCTTTCTACCTCTCCCTCTCTCTCTCTCTCTCGCAATATACCTACGCCCCGTAAGCCGTTTTAATTATTGTTATCGGCATACTATACCTCTACGGCTCTACCCTTTTAGTTCGGTATTCCATTTTCGTTTCGATGTATTCGTTCGTTTAACGCGTAACATTATATCGCGATACTATGCAATGTACTAAAATATCACTAAGAATGTGTGACTTTCGTTTCGGTTTTGTACGCGTTTAAATTGTTACTGTTAAGATATAAATAAATAACTGCGCAATAATCTTTATGTTATGATATATAAAATTTGGCTGTTTTATTTAAAATATACTTCTGCCATCATTCCAATGCACGGTGTGTCATTTATTTCTCATATATAATTTAGCTCGTCCGAATTGTTGTACAGAGACATTTATTACCTGGAAATAGTTTTAGATTTGGCGAATACTTTAAGACCGTCGACGACGTCGGAATCGCCAGAGATAATAATAAATGGTTTCAAGCTCTTGCTCAGTATGACCGCGAACGCCGGCGTATTTATCACGCACAAATGACGAACCATCCGTAGTAACTTAGATAATCGTAAACTACAATAGAAAGTTTATTTCCATCTCAAATGAAATACTCCGGATGTCACTGAAGAGAAGGATATTTGATAGTTTGGAGTATCGTTGTGATCTCAGAGGGGAGAAAAAACAAAATTCTATTTTCCATTTGAACTCAAGTCACAACGACTGTAGACAGACTGTTTTCGGTCCGACGGTAAAATCCGTCAACATACGCGATTACGGTTTGTTTTTATTCTTCGGTGACGATTGAATAACAACAAAACAATAATATCAGTAACTGTCCGGAACGGAGACGAAGATAAAACCAGAAGATTGGTTTGGATTTTAAATCGGTAAGAGCTTTTCACAAGTATTGAACAACAAACGTTGTTTTGATAATAATATACACACCTAAATGAGTTTGAAAACAAAATGGCACGAAACCGCCTTTATCGAGTCGATTTCGATTTTATAATCAGGTATTGTAAACGAAATCGGCCTATAAGATACAAATGGTAATTCTATTTTATCTCTGTGAATAGAATACTATAAAACTGTGAATGAAAGCACATGTCAATGTTGTCGTCGATGATAATATTTTTGATGTCTAATATATACGATTGAACTAACTAATAGTACATAAAATATGTATTATAATAAGTATTATAGTGACCATAGGTCACTATAATACTCAATTATTATTATGACATGTACTTGATAAAAATAAATGTAAGTGAAATACTTATACAACACAAATTAAGTAATATCAAATTCTCAAGTATATCTCAAAAATTAATTTAATTAATGTTCTAAATACATCGTTACAAAAAAGTATTACCTAAATACTTTTTATTATATATATTTTTTTTTTCAATTTACTTGTTATTGAAAATATTCTGGTTTATCGTGTGGTTTAGTTAATCCGTCAATTATCATTTAACATCATTATTTGTCAAATAACTTTCCTGGTTGTTTCCCTACTCATGAACCACCGTTTAAAAACATAGAAAACAATAATTACAACAGTCAAATCGTATTCATTTACACATTCAAACGCGTTGAAAACAATTTCAAACACAGTTTAGAAAAAATGTTTTAAATTAGGCTTTATAAAGTTGATACTTTAAATTAACCAGTAAAAGAAGTCACCTATGTAATGATGCTTAAATATAAAAAACACACTACTCAGATTTTAATATAATCACGAACATAATATTATAATATACATATTAATTTTAAATATTTCAACTATAGTTCAGATAATAGAACAAATATTTTAATAATATTGTATTATGTAATATATGAATTAATGGCTTTTATTTACATTTATTTAAAAAAAGTACTAAGCTACCATTTCAAAATTGTCTCAGTAAATTCACCAGGTTAAAATAGTTTCGCATAAAATATAGCACACTTGGTATGAAAGTTTTATTGAAACTGATGTGGAATTAAAAATGTGAATTTAATCAAATCAAGAAAAAAAACCATTGATTAATTTGACAATTTTAGAACAACCTATTTACTATAATATATATACTTCGAGTGCGTACTGAAATCCGATGGATTTTAAGGGGTATTGTATCGATAAAATGTATAAAATTATTTTCGTTATTTTTTGATAGTTTTAATTAACGTAAGGGAGATGAGTTTCTGAAGCCCATTTCTGTGTCAGACAAGTGGCTTGGTTTTTATTTTAGCATAATTTATGGCACGGCACTTTGTATAGGCAATATAGATACATATCAATAATACTTCGAGCTCATAAAAAGTAACAAGCTAGTTATTACGAACGTTGGCTTTCATTTTGTATTATTCTTACCTTAGTCCTATAAATATAACTTAATATCATAGTTTATAGTTTCAATGCTTGTAAAGGCATTTTCAAAGTTAATTTTTATGATTATTACCAATAAACTCAGATGGACAGTGTATAATAAGTAATAACTTTTATAAATCAAACGTAAATGATAAAAAATAAAAAAAAAATAAAAATAGTAATAGTATTAACATTAGGGTAGTTTTTACAGTTTTCAGTTAATCGTTGGAAAATTTTGAAAAATGTTTATATTAAATCCCTATCAGTTAGACTGTATAGTCAAATATCCAGTCTCTATGCGCGTGTTTGAGCTCAACGATATAATTTCAACACACGGCTTTTGAACCAGAAAATGGTAGCACGAACGAAACAAACAGCGAAATAACGACTTCACAAAACTCACAACGACACGAACGTCGTGATCGTCGAAGACAATTTTTCGGAAAGACAACTATTACTGACAGCCATGCGCTAGTATGGCCGTTATTGTTTAAATCATCGGTTTTCAAAATGATGTACACGCGTACCCGTAGTGGTACACGGCGGAAGGCCATGTGCCGGTCGTACGAAAAATCAATGAATAAAATTTTTAGTGATTTTAATAACGGATGTGATAAGATTTCATATTTTTTGAAAAAAACCGAACACTGCAGTTGAGTGCAAACTATTGATCTGTACGTTATTATTGAATATTAATGTATTGATATTTTGTGTAATTCCAATTTCAGTCATAATTCTTTAGTGGTATGTGTGACCGATCTCCGTAACGCACCACGAGTAGGTAATAACACTAGGCGAAAAAAAGTTTGAGACCCTCTGATCCAAGTAATAACGTTTAACACCTGTTCCGTAAATCTATAATAGAGATGGGGGGGAGTGGCTCACCTTCATCCACGACGACTTGGTTGGGTCCAGTCTCGAGTTCAGCGTCACCGTGTCCTCCTGGTGCGGTGACAGAGCTCCACACACGTTGATGATGGGCATCTGCAACGTGGTGGACATGCTGAGCCTACGTCCGGCCGGGCACGACTCCGACGTCGGCGTGCTCCTGCTGATGCCCAAGTCCGTCCGTCTCACATACGAGTCGATGAACGCAGCTAGGTTGCCTGGGTGAACGCTGTGCTCGAAGTACTCGCGGTACACTCTGGCCAGATCGTGGTTCCTTTCTTCCGTTCCCTTTGAAAATGATCGATTGGAATAATTTAGATGATATATCAGGAAATAAGATATACAATATATATATAAATTATATATTATAATATTATAATACGAATGCATAAGATCAAAAAAAGCATAGTATAATAGACAGAAGTGATTGCGTGACCGTAAATATCATTTAATGTAATATTTTTCTGTATGAATAGTCCTTTTTTTTTTTTAATGCAATTATAACGATTATAACGATTATTAACGATGTTACACATTAACACATTAAAATGTAATGTGTGTGTGTTTTTAAAGTATTAACTAATAAATATAAAAAAATATATTACAAAGATTACTGAATTTTCAGTTCTTTCTATTTCATTATGTACATTTCATGTTATCTAAACATTTTGGTGACCGTTTTTTAGCAAGTCACACAATATATGGCATACAGCGGCCTAAACGATTCTATGTTGTCGAATATTTAACCTAATATCGAATTTCGGTATCTAGGATTTTTTGGTATTTGTTTCACGATAATGGTTACATACATCATATTTATTATTCTAATTCATAGCCCGTTTAAAAATGCTATGTGAGCCAACGTGGTATTAATAATTCAAGCCCCAGGGCTAAGAATGTGCTAACATTTAGCGAACGAATTTTTTTTTTTTATAGATTTGGCCAACATGTTTTTAAAACATTTTATTATTTGTGGCTATAACTGTTATTCTTGATTGCATCTTTTTTTAGATTACAGCTCTTCTGTCACTGTGCGCCTCGTATATTCTACATAATAAACATTATATGATAATACATTTTAATGTTTTTTATTTTCATTATATTCTACAACGATCAATAATTAAAAAACAAAATGTGTAGAAATTAGTATTTAATAAACCAGAAGTATAAAAAAATATGAAAAAATATCTACTGAATATCTAAATTGACATTTTTAAATCCACTCAACCCTATAATAATATCCTTGAATTCGCATGATGTGAGTAATATCATAAACGCGTTGCAGTAGTTAACATACAGCATTTGATTCGATTGATGAGATAAAAAGAAAAAATATTAATACGTATTTTGCATATTTTGTACGACTATTGTGTCCCAAGTTTATTCGTGCCCGTTTCAATTATAATCGAAATAGGATTATTAATATTTTTGATTATATATATTTATATATATTTATGGTTACAGCAGCGATTCAATATTCGTTTATACGATGATATGCATATAGGTTATAACTTATAAGTTATAACTCATGATTACAAACAAATTATAAGAAAATGGACCAAAGCGATAAATCCGACGCTACAGCTATTATACTTGGGCACTCGATTTTCTCTACTAACTTTTCCAAAATGATGCCACATCAAATAGTCCATCACTCCTTGTGTCATGCCTTTGGATTTCAAATATCTGCTGTTTAGCTTTTGATAACCATACTCGATCCAACCAGCCGGCGTCGACACCACGTTAATCAGACACAGGGCTTCGACCTGTAACACATGACCAGTAAAATGTTTATAATAATGTGCTCCCTTCGAGGCAATATGCAGTATACGTAGGTATTAATACATTATCACAAGTATATGATAACGAAATGGTGACTGCACTGTGATGTTTAATTATATTACCTTTGTTGGTTGTCTGAAAGCGAACCGCGCCAAAATGTTTCCGCCAGCTCCCACTCCAAGTCCGATGATCGATTGCAAACCGAAGTATCTTAAAACGTGGTCTAACTGATTCGCTAAATCATCTATACTAGGAAAAACGTAACTGAAAAAAAAAAACAAAAACAAATTATTAAATCAATGTTTACACCAAATGTATCTACGAGTCAAATTTCGTACAAAATTTTATGACATATTTTACACGAAATAGTAGTTAAAAAATAAAAAGACTAATTTATAATAATTTCGATAACGGTAAAAAAAAAAAAAAAAATTGTAAATCATTTATACTAAATAACTAAATAAAATATATATTTTACATGTTTATAAATCATAATTTAATGTGCAAGAGAAAATTAAATCATAATTTACGCTAATTTTTAAATGATAAAAATTACGTAGAACATTTCATTTTCGGGAATTTGAATTGCATACATAATGCATAAACGTTTTAAGATTCACAAATAAATATTTGCATTTGTCTGTTTTTTTCTATTTTACTTTAAATCATTATTTTAACATCAATATCTCAGAATGTTAGTTTCTAAATTATTATATTAAATGCGAATTAAACACTAATTATTGTATTGAGTTGAACAGTATAAAAATAGTGCAATAATGATATGGGTACTTTTGAGCCTTCAAAAGTAATAAATATAATTTTATTGTATTAAGCATTTTAATATAATGTAAAAATACATTATTGATGTGTGAGAATTATTATTATCATAAAATAATATTAAAATGTTAAATAATCAAACATAAAATCGAACTATGTAAATTTATTTTAATTATAAAATCAATTTTTAGATATATATTATAAGTAATACAAGTAAATGACCTGTAACCTCCTATTGCCTAATGTTATTCATTAATTACGTTTATTATTTAAAAACTACTAACGGCTCTAATGTCTGATAATATATTGATATATAACTTAATTATAAGCTCATAAAAGGAATTCAATTATTAAATTAGTTACCCAATTAATTACCCATTAATAATAAACAATTATTATATAATATAATAATATATCACACTAAGTGATAATAACTTTATAAAATAAATTAATCATATAAATAGTCAATTTTCCTTGGTTAGATAAACTAAAATTAATTAATACTAAATAATAATTATGCAGAAATAAATTCTTTCTACTGACAAAAAGTATTAAATAATAGATAGTTTTATTATAGAAATAGCAAAAATTGTAAAAAATGTATAAAAATACGATAGTTAAACGTAAACAACTGTATGGCATAGATGTATTTAAATTCGAAAAAATAAAATTAAAAGCAATTTTTAGCTGATCATAGTTTACCATCAGCCATGATCATCGCTTATTTTAAAAATGTTCTTAATTGTACAAGTCGTACTTATATTTCTTAATTTATATAGTTTTCTTTAAAAATGCAAAGTAACTTTAAATACAACATTTTGTAATATATTTTTCACTGTATGTAATTTAGAAATTGTCATTATTCTAAAACAAGATTACCAAAAAAGAGATAGTTATGAAAATACCTCATATTTATAAAATTCTGAAAATCTTTATAAAGTGCCATTAAAATATTATAGCATTAAATATAAGTATACACAGTAAGAGAATAAAAGATTAAACATAAGTAGAAGTGTACATCTTATCGAATTAATAGTCATACAGTATTCAATGAAAATATATAAATATGAAACATTTTAAAATAGAGGTTATCATATGCATTAGGTATTAATATTCCATGTTTATTAAAACTTTAGATAATTAAAAAATAATAATAATTAAATAATTGTTATCATATCGTTTTAACATCGTGTATGATAAATATTAACTACAAATTATAGAAAATATTTAATTAAAATAGTTAAATAATTTTAAGATGGTTGAGGTATCAAAATTCAAATCATGAATAAACCGAAGTTAATTTTTGTTTACAAATTATTCTATGTTAAAAACTGGTTTATAAGTTACAGTACACAATATACACAATAATTTCTCTATTCAGACATATTTTGGTCACAAATAATAATAAATAGCAGCCGTATTTGACTGTTCAATGTGAATGACGAAGACGGACAAATCTCAAACTAAAAGTTCAGTCTTAAACCGTTTCAAACATCAAAAACTGCTACAGAAGCTAATCGATAAAAATATATTCTGTTTACATCCTTAAGTCTAAAACCTTTGAAATCTACTATGAAATATAATTGAAATTTAATAAAATAATGATGAAGATTAGGAAATCAAAAATTAAATTTTTTCATAGTTATTGACTTGTTATCAAAAACTCGTACCAGGAAGTAATATCATATCAGTATCTAGTAATTAATATTTTTAATGTGCGCGTTATACATTTATAGTATCCTATCGTGTTAAATACCACGAATATGTATTTGAACTTGTATGCTTGCAAATATTTTGTTTACAAGTATCAATCTACTAATTATGTAATTTATGATAATTATAAAAAAAAAAAAAAAACAATTGCATAATTGTGTAAAATGCATTTAAACATCGAGAAAAGCGTAAAAAGAATGCAAATCGACACTTTTTCGATAGCGCATGCAGCCAATATCAGTGATATCAAAACTTAAAAATAATAAAAGAGATAAAAAATTTTATATAAAAGCTAGTGTCGAAGTTAAAATTAATATTACAGTTGTTCTACAAAAGTGGAAAAATGAAGTTAGTGATCGTTTTGACCGCTAGTCTGGCTTTGGCCACGGCCGCCACACTGCCGTGTACGTATATTGTCATTAATATTATTATTATTATTATTATTATTTTTTTTTTTATAACTAATAGTACTATATTATTATGTTTGTTTTCCCTCTAATGATTTTAATAACAAAAATGATATTTTTTCAGCTAAAAAAATTAACAGTCAAAACGAATTGTTTGAATCGAGTGAAAAGAACAATAACAACGAATTTATCCAAGAAAAGGAAGTACGTGATTCCATCGCGAACTCTTTCGACGCCATTGTTAATGTCATAAGACAATACAAAAATGACGTTGCAAAATCTGACAACATTAGAACAAACGAAATTTCCGTCCAAGATACCATAAACTTCGGTTTCAACGCCGACACGTTTTTGACCAACGTTTACGTCAACGGACTGAACAACTTTGACAGCCAAAACTTTACCATGGCATGGGGAGAAGATTTGGTAAGCATATTTAAATGTAATGTATACAGAAATACTCAATTTATTCATAGGATAGTTAATCAATATTATTTAACTGGTAAAACTGTATTCAACTCTGTTCTTGACGTTGAACATAGTTTATATATTACAGATCGACCAATCATAGTGATTATGACGTAAAAAAAAACTTTAAATAAACTGCTACACAAATTTACAAAGTTAAACTTAATGTTTTGAAACATAAAATAAATAATATAATTTTTAATCCATTTAAAATAGGTGTTTATTAACTTAAATACCAAAGTAATAAAATTATATTTTTATATATAATATTTTATTTTAGTCATTTTTTAAACTGAAATCTATAATTTTGTATTCAAAAACATGATACTTTTTTTTATAAACATTTTGACGCACAAATATTCAATATAATTTTAATGTTCAACTATGGAATAAAACATATATGGGTTATCGTTAATAGAACTAAGAAAACCTAAGCACTAACTGCTACTAAGATAAAAAAAAAAAAAAATTAATCACAAGAATATATTTTGCAAAACGTAGTATTCAAATTATTTTGACTTCATAAAATAAAATATATTAAAATAGAATTTTATAACTGAATCACTCAGCAGTGTTTATTATATGGGTTGACTTTTCAATAACTATTTAGTAATATCCTTTTAAACATAAATATACCAATGGTAAAACGTATCTAGTCACGCTGAACCTCGTGATTTCCTCGTGTTATGTCCACAGGGAAATTATATAATTTGATTTCCTTTTCACAGATCTACGTCGCTAATGGCTGGAAAAAACTCGCGGTCGACGGAGTGTTTCATCACATGAACACCGTTGCCAGACACAGTGGAACATTCCATTTAGACATTATCGAACCGAAGTACAAGGGCGAAACTTTGCTCACGAAAAAACTCAAACGTCTACCCGTTAATGTCGAACGTCGGCTCCTTTAAGTTCGTCAAGTTCATCGTCAACCACACCTCGTTGCCGGAAGTATTCCAAGACGACCAACCTCAATTCGAGTGAGTAACTCGGCCAATGTAAATCACAATTAACGGAGATTTAATTGAATTTTTAGAGGTCACTTTTCTTTTTTTTTTTTTTTGGCACTAATATAGGTAACGAATTTTTATATACTCATATCCACCCTCGCGTACATCTTTAATTTAAATATCGTGCAATAAACAATAACACATCAATCGTATTATAAATAATTATTAATAATGATAAAAAATGTGCTTAGTTACATTTTTTATTTCAATTAAATACCTCTGGAAAAGCTAATTTTCTTATTAAAGAGATGATCCGGACCAGGACAGAGATAAAAACTATTTAGACCAAAATATAAACTAATACGTCAATAGTTTTAAAACACTCGGTCAAAAATCGTTTCAGCACGATTCAAATAAAAATCGTACTATCATCAAAAGTAAAAATATGAAACTTTCCGTGCGGGATAAACACCGTTGAGCCCCGATGTCCAAGTCATAGGCGTGTAGCGTTATTAAACAGCAGTCGAAATCGAGTCTTGAAACCGAATTAATTTCTTTCTATTTTTTTTTCCGTTTAGTTATTTCGTCAAAAACACCTTAGCCCAATGCGTAGCAAACGCCGAAGCCAACAACATGTACAACGACAACTTCGTCACGCAAATCAAACGGATCGTCAAACCCTACATGGTGTACCGCAGCGACAAGATCGCCAGCGAATCCGCGTCGCCGATGACCGGCGATCTGGCCGACGGGTTCCGTTTCGAGTTGAAAAACGTCGATTTCGACAACTCCAAAAACAACTTGGCTAAGATCTCGTTCGTGCAAGTGAACAAGACCGACGACAGCTGCTCCGCCAAACTGGAACTCCGCCTGTTGGACCTGACCGGAGAATTCGACAGCGTCGTGACATCGCCCGACGGCAAGAGTTACAACCGCAGGGCCACGTACA